TATATATATAATATATATGTCTATATATGAGGGGGTTATAATTACACCAGTGTAACTTTTACCAAGTGTTATACTACTCAATAACTTTATATTAAATGTAAATTTTGTAAATCAAACCATTAAACTGAAAGTTCATATCACTTTGTATGTGTATATCAAATTTTGTTAAAATTGAACAACAATTTGAAGGTGATCAAAGTGTTCATGTTTTAGTATATTTTGAAATGTATATATTACGTCAATTTTGTTTTATAAAAATGAAGTATCAAATCATCTTGGATTAATATAAAAATTTTGTATATATGATCTAAGAGATATGAACTTTCAATCTAACGGTTGGATTTACAAAATTTACATTTAATATAAAGTTATTGAGTGGTGTAACACTTAGTAAAAATTACATTGGTGTTAATCCTCCTATATATATATAACCAATAGGTTTTGGATTATAAAGAGAGAAGGATGAAGTTTTCGACTTATAAGATGTTATGGTACTAATTTTATAATAGGTAAACATAGAATTAAAAGATAAAAAAAAATACTCATAATAAAAAAAATGTAAAGTATTGAAGTAAAAAAATTAAAAATTAAAAATAAATATGAATAAAAATTAATTAAAACTGTTTTCAATGTTTCTTGCATGTGGAAAAATGTGAAGTACCGATATTTTCTCGTGTTAACCAATTATGCCTTTGGAAGAGATAAGATCAAGAAGGATGAAAGTTGATAAAGTTGATTTGAAGATTTGTAGGACATTTACCTTTATTTTCTAAGATACCCTACCTTTGGAGGCCTATTCTATCTTAAAGAACTCCTATTGTTATTATACATTTTTCTTACTCATAATTCATTTTATTAGTGATTGTATTAAGATATTTTTGGCCTTGTATTTTGGGTTGTATATATTACTTGAGGGTGTAATTAATAAATTAGGGTAGGGGTAACTAGCTAAGTCTTGTTAGACTTATTTGGGCTTGGATGACCCAAATCTTTTTATGGCCCATAGGTTTGGATGTCCACTTGCTTATCCAAGCCAAACTTGTCATCCAAGCTATAAATTAAGTCATATGGCTTTGATAGTGACATCTCAACAACTTATTAAAAGTAATTATTAATTTAGTAGTTGTAATGATTAAGCTAGGTAATTGGAGTTAACTTAAGCTAACTTAGGTTATTCTTAAGCTAGGATTAGCTTAGCTTCCTCCATAAACTTCTAGACAACTAATTAGACTTCTAGAAATTTAACGAAAGTGGGTTAGCTTAAGTACAAGATAGCTAATCATGATTAGTCTAGCTTGCACCATAAGCCAACTAAACTCTATATATTGTAGTTTTGACCCATTTTGTACAATTTTTGACTATTATTGGAGTTTAAAGAGTTATTTTCTCTATAGAACTCTCTCTCTCAAAAGCTTAAATCTCTCTTTGATTTACTTCCGATTCTTTTATCCTTTTCCTAAGAGTGTGGTGAGACTTGAAGTGGTTTATCTTCTTCCTTGAAATGACACCACTTGAAGAGAGTCCTTCACCATTGAAGGTGATTTCAGAGGTTTCCTCCTCCATTAAAGACCTTGAAGAAGCTTGAGGAGTGTCAAGAAAGAAAAGATCTAGGAAGAAACTTGAAGGAGAAGCTACAACAATCTAGCTCCTCCTAAGGTTTCCATCAATTTAAGTTAGACAAAGTCTCATGTATGTGGATTTTGAGGGCTTTTGAGATAGAGGTTTGGAGGGTGAAAAGGTTGATGCTTGGGTGGAAGGTTGGGCTTTAAAGCTGTAAGTTAGGTGAGAACTCATGGAAGTTTTCTTCAAAAAAGGCTCATCCCCTAGCTCAGTCTTCATTGGCACCATATGCCACTTAATAGATAGAAACAAATGGGTTATGCCCATCTTCCTCAAGGTGGTAACTGATACGTCATAACCTTTGGGTCTGACTTCAAAGAGCTTGGTATCAATCCTGATTTGTTAAATCACCTTAGTGAAGAGCATCTTATATGAAATGGGTTTTTTTTGCTCCTCCCTGGATTGCGTTACGAGAGACAAAACTTCTAGTGACTATAAATCAACTCTAGTTGGTTGATCTGGATTCCCAAACTCAAAAAATATAAGCAGAACCTTTCCAAATTAGATACATGATCGTAGGATCTTGACCTTGGAAGGAATGTGTTAAACAACAGGTTATGAAACATCATGCATAACAAAGTGAGATTGGAAATTCTGAGAAATTTCTTCAACACGTTTCTCTCTGTGGGTCGTAGGCCATTGGTGTAGATCAAAGCGTCCACAGTCTCCTGATTGATGGTGTTTTTCCAATCACCTAAGTATAACTCTCTTTCCTTTTTACAACCTAAGACAGTTGCAATAATTAGGAGGTCAACCCTAATGGTTGTTTGGTCCACCTGACCAGTGATGGAAAGTGGCTCTTGGATGGCATATGCCCAAAAGTAGGCATATGGAGTATGATGCCAACCACACTTCATTTTAGCAAACTTGGTCTAGCCGACATTGTTAAGTTATGACTTCATCCAATAGTCTCCGCCTTGCATTTTCTGGACAACTATCGTCTTCCTTGGTAAGAAGACAAATTATAAATGATTGTATTTATTAAATGAAGAATTAGATAAATAGAAGAGTAAAAATGAAATGTCAATCAATTATATATCACACTATATTTAAATCAATTATTACAATAACATTGTTTTAAATAATAACATTACATGATAATAATTTAAAATTATAAAAAATAATTTTTTAATAGAGACAATATTATATATTAACAATTTAAGTCTGTAATTGTCTCAAATATCATATATGTTAGTTATCAGTCAATACTTAAATTTTTATTGCAAAAAAAAATGGTGGGTTGGTGAGCTACCTGGCCCACTATGAGTTTAGCCCGGGTGAGCCGGGGTCAAAGTGGGTCAGGTTGAGATATACTCACCTACTATAAAACTTTAATTTTTTTTACCCGGTCTAGCTTATTTTCAAGGTAGGCCAGATTAGCCCACGGGTCCCAGCCTACTTTGACTGGTTAAACATTGCTACATATTCGATACTCGAGCTTTAGGCTTAAATAACTTGTCGGTCAATTTTTTTTTTCTTACTTATATTGAAAACCCAAATACCATTAAATAGTCTTGATAGTTGATACCACCTCCAAGTGTCCCTTCAATTCTCATTCTCTCTTGCTACTTTGCTAGGAAGCTACCTACAATGTTGTCCTCCACACACACATGCCCTTGTCCCATCTCCAATTCAACCCTCAAGATCCCAAGCACCAACTTCAGCCACACCATGAGCATGGCAACACCCCAAGCATCAAACATGGAGCCAAAATCAATGATAGTTGAGCTCCACATCCAAGGGTGGAACAAGGTGTACGTGGAGCCCACAAGAGGGTACCCACTTTTCACAACGGACGAAGCCTTCATGGTGTCCCCAAAGTTCACCTGCCACTTCAAGGTTCCACCTTTCGTTTCGGTTTCCAAGGTCACGTGCGGCCCTCACGTGACCAGGGAGTTGGACAAGATGCCCTTTTCCCATGCACTCGCAGGCTACCTCAGGCCCTTCATTGTGGACGCTCTTGTTGAGTTTGCCAAAACCGGGCTTGTGGGATTTAAGGTGGTTTTCGATGTTAAGGTTGTCAAGATTGACTTGGCCAACTATCATGAGTGTGATTACTATCGTAGACGTGGCTTTGTCTAGTGGGAACTTTGTGTTTTTTGTTTTGTAATTAAAAAGTTAAATCCGTAAGTTAAGGTTCTGTTTGGTGTTGTGTGTTGTGTTGTGAATTGTGATTGCTTTTTGTTGGATATGGAGATTTTAGATGTGTTTGGTTATTCCCTTCTTGTTTGAATGTCTTCTTTTTTGTTGGATAAGAGAAGAGGGTTTTTAATGGAAAAAAATGACAATATCCAAAAATGGTGAGAATGTTGATTTGGTTAGTGTTTGAATCTCACAAAAAGACAGTTTATTTATTTATATGCAATACTTTGTTGAATACTAATATGTAAATATTTTTATAAGTTCTTTAAATTTTAAGATTTATAACGTGTTTGTTTTATGCTATTCCTGAATTTCAAAGTTACATTGAATGTAATTTCACTTTCTTGTAACTTTGACGTCGAGAATATAAACATATTCTTATCATTCTTTATATCTAACTCAAATAATATTATATTATATTAAAGATAAAACTTGTTAAGAAGTGATTTTTAATTAAAATTGAAATTTTATTTTGATAATATATATTTATATTTATTATAAAAGAGATATTATTAAATATTTAAAAAAAATTATATTTTTTTTAAATAATTTTTTTTATAATTATCTAATATTTCATTTATATAATTATTAGAAATATGAAGCTTTTCGATTTCTCTAATTTATAGTATTTCATTTATGTAATCATTAAAAGTATGAAGTTTTTTGATTTCTCTAATTTATATAATGCACATCTCGATAATATATACATAAGTATATTATTAAAATGAAATTTTAATTTTGATGGGAGAATGTTGATGATAGTGTATCTGAGATTTCAGAGGTTTCCTCCTCCATTAAAGACCTTGAAGAAGCTTGAGGAGTGTCAAGAAAGAAAAGATCTAGGAAGAAACTTGAAGGAGAAGCTACAACAATCTAGCTCCTCCTAAGGTTTCCATTTTTATGGCCCATAGGTTTGGATGTCCACTTGCTTATCCAAGCCAAACTTGTCATCCAAGCTATAAATTAAGTCATATGGCTTTGATAGTGACATCTCAACAACTTATTAAAAGTAATTATTAATTTAGTAGTTGTAATGATTAAGCTAGGTAATTGGAGTTAACTTAAGCTAACTTAGGTTATTCTTAAGCTAGGATTAGCTTAGCTTCCTCCATAAACTTCTAGACAACTAATTAGACTTCTAGAAATTTAACGAAAGTGGGTTAGCTTAAGTACAAGATAGCTAATCATGATTAGTCTAGCTTGCACCATAAGCCAACTAAACTCTATATATTGTAGTTTTGACCCATTTTGTACAATTTTTGACTATTATTGGAGTTTAAAGAGTTATTTTCTCTATAGAACTCTCTCTCTCAAAAGCTTAAATCTCTCTTTGATTTACTTCCGATTCTTTTATCCTTTTCCTAAGAGTGTGGTGAGACTTGAAGTGGTTTATCTTCTTCCTTGAAATGACACCACTTGAAGAGAGTCCTTCACCATTGAAGGTGATTTCAGAGGTTTCCTCCTCCATTAAAGACCTTGAAGAAGCTTGAGGAGTGTCAAGAAAGAAAAGATCTAGGAAGAAACTTGAAGGAGAAGCTACAACAATCTAGCTCCTCCTAAGGTTTCCATCAATTTAAGTTAGACAAAGTCTCATGTATGTGGATTTTGAGGGCTTTTGAGATAGAGGTTTGGAGGGTGAAAAGGTTGATGCTTGGGTGGAAGGTTGGGCTTTAAAGCTGTAAGTTAGGTGAGAACTCATGGAAGTTTTCTTCAAAAAAGGCTCATCCCCTAGCTCAGTCTTCATTGGCACCATATGCCACTTAATAGATAGAAACAAATGGGTTATGCCCATCTTCCTCAAGGTGGTAACTGATACGTCATAACCTTTGGGTCTGACTTCAAAGAGCTTGGTATCAATCCTGATTTGTTAAATCACCTTAGTGAAGAGCATCTTATATGAAATGGGTTTTTTTTGCTCCTCCCTGGATTGCGTTACGAGAGACAAAACTTCTAGTGACTATAAATCAACTCTAGTTGGTTGATCTGGATTCCCAAACTCAAAAAATATAAGCAGAACCTTTCCAAATTAGATACATGATCGTAGGATCTTGACCTTGGAAGGAATGTGTTAAACAACAGGTTATGAAACATCATGCATAACAAAGTGAGATTGGAAATTCTGAGAAATTTCTTCAACACGTTTCTCTCTGTGGGTCGTAGGCCATTGGTGTAGATCAAAGCGTCCACAGTCTCCTGATTGATGGTGTTTTTCCAATCACCTAAGTATAACTCTCTTTCCTTTTTACAACCTAAGACAGTTGCAATAATTAGGAGGTCAACCCTAATGGTTGTTTGGTCCACCTGACCAGTGATGGAAAGTGGCTCTTGGATGTAATTATAAAATTGAACCTTGCTTCCCTCGTGCCACCCTTAACAGCCATTTACTATTCATGTATACGTATATGTGAATAGTAAAAATACGTATACATGAATAGTAAAAATACGTATAAAAATATGATAAACTTTCTAATAATCTCAATAAATATTTAAAATCAAAATAACCTGTTTTATTTAATAAAATTTTGAATATTACATTTATCCTATATTAATTAAATTAAATAATATTATAAATGTCGTCTCTGCATGTTTACTGCACCTTTTGAATGTTTATCGAGATATATTATGAAGATGGTTTCATCATGGCGATTCTTTTATGTGGAGAATGGTGGAAAATTTAATAGGTGTAGGTGGCATGGTTTATCGAGATAAGACTAAGACTGCTCCAATCTGTGCACATGTGAAGATGAATGCATGCATCAACACTGTAATCAAGTATACTAACCCTAATAATGCATAGTAAAATGACACATAGTATAAGACAATGCATTTGATGTTCATTCTAAAATACATTTTAAATGCAAATGATCTCTAATGAATCTAAAGCTTTCTTCATCTATCATAACCTTTGGGTCTGACTTCAAAGAGCTTGGTATCAATCCTGATTTGTTAAATCACCTTAGTGAAGAGCATCTTATATGAAATGGGTTTTTTTTGCTCCTCCCTGGATTGCGTTACGAGAGACAAAACTTCTAGTGACTATAAATCAACTCTAGTTGGTTGATCTGGATTCCCAAACTCAAAAAATATAAGCAGAACCTTTCCAAATTAGATACATGATCGTAGGATCTTGACCTTGGAAGGAATGTGTTAAACAACAGGTTATGAAACATCATGCATAACAAAGTGAGATTGGAAATTCTGAGAAATTTCTTCAACACGTTTCTCTCTGTGGGTCGTAGGCCATTGGTGTAGATCAAAGCGTCCACAGTCTCCTGATTGATGGTGTTTTTCCAATCACCTAAGTATAACTCTCTTTCCTTTTTACAACCTAAGACAGTTGCAATAATTAGGAGGTCAACCCTAATGGTTGTTTGGTCCACCTGACCAGTGATGGAAAGTGGCTCTTGGATGGCATATGCCCAAAAGTAGGCATATGGAGTATGATGCCAACCACACTTCATTTTAGCAAACTTGGTCTAGCCGACATTGTTAAGTTATGACTTCATCCAATAGTCTCCGCCTTGCATTTTCTGGACAACTATCGTCTTCCTTGGTAAGAAGACAAATTTTTTATACTCCTTAATTGGTACCTCGCGAGTAAAGAGGGAAACCTTGGGGGCCATTTTTGAGATTAGTATTTGGTGTGTTTGCAAAGAGTTTTTGGAGAAAAAGATGAATAGTAGAGTTCGCAAGAGATTTTGAAAAAATGTAAGAGTGGAGGGAAAACGACAATGTAAGGTATAAGACAATGTAAGTTAGATTAATGAAATGACACATAGGCATAAGACAATGTAAGTTAGATGAAACATAATGCATAGTAAAATGACACATAGTATAAGACAATGCATTTGATGTTCATTCTAAAATACATTTTAAATGCAAATGATCTCTAATGAATCTAAAGCTTTCTTCATCTAAAGCTTTTGCCGCCTTGCATTTTCTGGACAACTATCGTCTTCCTTGGTAAGAAGACAAATTTTTTATACTCCTTAATTGGTACCTCGCGAGTAAAGAGGGAAACCTTGGGGGCCATTTTTGAGATTAGTATTTGGTGTGTTTGCAAAGAGTTTTTGGAGAAAAAGATGAATAGTAGAGTTCGCAAGAGATTTTGAAAAAATGTAAGAGTGGAGGGAAAACGACAATGTAAGGTATAAGACAATGTAAGTTAGATTAATGAAATGACACATAGGCATAAGACAATGTAAGTTAGATGAAACATAATGCATAGTAAAATGACACATAGTATAAGACAATGCATTTGATGTTCATTCTAAAATACATTTTAAATGCAAATGATCTCTAATGAATCTAAAGCTTTCTTCATCTAAAGCTTTTGTAAAAATATTAGCCCATTGATGATCAATGTTAATATCTGAGAAATTTCTTCAACACGTTTCTCTCTGTGGGTCGTAGGCCATTGGTGTAGATCAAAGCGTCCACAGTCTCCTGATTGATGGTGTTTTTCCAATCACCTAAGTATAACTCTCTTTCCTTTTTACAACCTAAGACAGTTGCAATAATTAGGAGGTCAACCCTAATGGTTGTTTGGTCCACCTGACCAGTGATGGAAAGTGGCTCTTGGATGGCATATGCCCAAAAGTAGGCATATGGAGTATGATGCCAACCACACTTCATTTTAGCAAACTTGGTCTAGCCGACATTGTTAAGTTATGACTTCATCCAATAGTCTCCGCCTTGCATTTTCTGGACAACTATCGTCTTCCTTGGTAAGAAGACAAATTTTTTATACTCCTTAATTGGTACCTCGCGAGTAAAGAGGGAAACCTTGGGGGCCATTTTTGAGATTAGTATTTGGTGTGTTTGCAAAGAGTTTTTGGAGAAAAAGATGAATAGTAGAGTTCGCAAGAGATTTTGAAAAAATGTAAGAGTGGAGGGAAAACGACAATGTAAGGTATAAGACAATGTAAGTTAGATTAATGAAATGACACATAGGCATAAGACAATGTAAGTTAGATGAAACATAATGCATAGTAAAATGACACATAGTATAAGACAATGCATTTGATGTTCATTCTAAAATACATTTTAAATGCAAATGATCTCTAATGAATCTAAAGCTTTCTTCATCTAAAGCTTTTGTAAAAATATTAGCCCATTGATGATCAATGTTAATAAACTATATATAT